TACTATGTATGTATGTATAACAAAACAAGTTGAAGTTGGTCATTGACTTTATTTATGTGGTTGCTTCCAAAGGAGCGGTTTGTTGTTTTCGGCGCGTTGTAAATACGTCTTACTGTTCGTCCTCAGTGTCGGCGTGAAATTTGTCGTCCACCTTCTCCTCATCCGCTAGTTCTGCTGTTTCATCCGAGTAGATTGCTTCATCTTCCATGCCGTCTAGAATATTATAGATTCTGCAAGGTTTTGAACGAGGGTTGTTAGTAAAACGCGTAACGGCATAAAGAGTAACGGCGTAACGGCGTAACGAGGAACCACGTAACGGGATTTTTTTTAATGTTATTATTTCTTTGTAATTTTTTTATTTTATTATTTTTTGATTTTATTATTATTACTTCTTTCAGCTTTGCCTATAATTTGAACATTGTAACTTCTTCATTGTAACATTATTATTCGTGATTGGCGGGGTTTTTCCCGCCCTTTCAAGTTTCCAAGTTTATTTCGCACTATTCAAATTAATACAGTACAAGATGATTTAGATAACTAGGTGAAGAAGATAATGAGAAGTAGATATCATGCAGGTTTGTATATGTGTGTACATTGACCAAAGTAGCCGTCGCAGTTCGTGTTGGCCACTGCCCCATTTAGGTACAAAGAGACGGTCCAAGAAATGAGTGTAAGGTAATAACAAATTAGGGTATTAAGAGAATATGTAGCGTTTGCGACGACCAAAATTCTAAATTCTCAAGTTCAAGGGCGTGTCGCTCCAAAACGCGTTTAATGAGGTGTTTGGGACTATTTCACTGATCGAAATGACAAACCAAAGTTGACTGTTTGCACAAATCTATTCTTGATAGGCAATCGACCGCGAACCACAATCAACGACGAAAATAACGATTATTCTAAAATTCAATCAATCTATCGCACGATCGATCCTAAAATATCGGTCCCGCTTGTGTCAGAGGTTGAGAAAACGAAAGGGCGAAAGTTTACCAAGACTATTCAAAACTTACGAAGAACTGATTAAAGGGACGCTAAACTTGCCTTTTATATGCGCTTGGTGACGGTGAAAGGTCTGATTACAGAACCAATAGAAATACAGAAAAATAGATAAGCATTGTAACTATGTGGCTAGCTAAGATCATTCTGAAATTATTGAACTAACCAATAATCAATCAAAAAATGAGCCTTCTGGCTAATGTCCTTAACATGGCTCCACTGAAATATTCATATTTCACCTATCTAATTATTAATCTATCAAAGTTCAAGAGTTGACTGAATGAAGTTTCCTCACAAATTTCAGTTCATTTCTTGTCAAGGCTACTCGGCCGGGAATTGCCCCGGTTTTCGTCCTTTTTTGGCGCTGGGATTAACAACACTAGCTACTGGATTGGTCTCTCGAGATACCACACTGAGCCAATCCTCTTGCCTCGTTTATCCAAACAGCTATCCGCA